CCCCGCACCGCTCGTTTCCCGCAGTGAAACGAAACCAAAACCGAACCCAACGCGGAAAGGGGCGGTGGGCGTGGCCTCACATAAACCCCGCCCACTTCAGGTCACGCCCACTTTCTCGAGCCACGCCCCCCTTCAGGCACCGCCTCTGCGGTTGGCCTAACGGCGTAGGCCACGCCCCCATTTTAGGCCACGCCCCTTTCAGCCCCGGTTCCCGTTTGTCCATCCTGGCTTTGGCCCCGCCCCCGCTTTAGGCCCCGCCCCCTTTCAGGTCCCACATCCGCCTCCACGCAGGCCACGCCCTCCTTTAAGGCCACGCCCCCGTTAAAAGCCCCGCCTCTGCGGTTGGTCCTCCTCTCCGTAGACCCCGCCCCCCGCCTTAGGCCCCGCCCCCTTCTGGGCCCGACTCCTCCGCTGATTCGCCTCCTCTTCGGCCCCGCCCCCTACGCCGGCCCCGCCCCCTACGTCGACCCCGCCGCTCACGTCGGCCCCGCCTCCATTCAGGCCCCGCCCACTGCGCGGAGCGGAGCGGCGCTGAGCGGTGAGCGGCTGCGGGCCGGCGGTTCGTTGTGGGTCGGCGGCTCCTTATGGGGCCGCGGTTCGTTATGGGGTCGGCGGCTCCTTATGGGGGGGCGGTTCGTTATGGGGCCGCGGTTCGTTGTGGGGCAGCGGCTCCTTATGGGGTGGCGATTCGTTATGGGGTCGGCGGCTCCTTATGGGGCCGCGGTTCGTTATGGGGTTGGCGGCTCCTTATGGGGCCGCAGTTCGTTATGGGGTTGGCGGTTCCTTATGGGGCCGCGGTTCGTTCTGGGGCCGGCGGTTCGTTGTGGGGCGGCGGCTCCTTGTGGGGTCGGCGGCTTCTTGTGGGGCGGCAGTTCTTTCTGGGGCCGGCGGCTCCCTATGGGGTCGGCGGCTCCTTATGGGGCCGCGGTTCGCTGTGGGGCCGCAGTTGGTTGTGGGGGCGCAGCGCGGCCCCCTGAGCGGCGGTGCGCTGGGAGGCGGCGCCGCGCGGGGGTCGGGCGGCCGTTCGTCCCCGCCTTGGGGCGCCCCGCGCCGGGCGGCGCCGCTACGCGAGGCCGGGGATCGGGGGGGCGGTGCGGGCCGCGCGTGGGCCGCGGGGATTTACGGGCAAAGCGGATTAAACGCAGCCCCACAACAGCAGCACCGCCCCGCCCCCACCGGGCGCACGGCGCCGCACCGCGTGACGCTGCGGG